ACGTCGTGTTATTCACAATAACGAAGTTGATATCCATAAATCTCGATTTCCTCATTGATTCCACTTCTAAATGCCCCTCAAAGATTTCAAGGAGTATTTAGGAAGCTGGAATATATATGTGGTACCCGTCACGTGCATAGGAAAGCCGACTGTACCCCTGAAACACGTCAACCTTGTAACACATGGTGCAGGTGAATGGGGAATCAGCTGTTACACTACATCATAGATCTTCCTTCGTTTGGATGTATGGCCGCAATGCCATTGCATCCTGGCTGATCTAGCAACAAATAAGCGGCACCATACGGCACCTATAGTGACAAGTTGTTGTTTAAGTGGGAGTATCGTTTTTTGCCCTGCTCATTACACGTTTGAATTTATGTATCCCGTTTTGTGGTTTATGTTCATTTGAAAGCTTTAATGTTTTCTGCCGAATACGGAAAGTCAATATGTGAAGCCGAGTTGACGCATCTCATTATCAATTTAGTGAGACCTTCTACCATGATGATAATTTCCAACAAAGCTCTATCAAGTGAAAAGGTCATCTCACTCAAACCGAAGACTCAAGTTGAAATATCATAGTGGAAATAACGAGATATGTATGAAAATAAAGGTTTATGAATTTGAACAGAGTGTGACTATAAACTGAATAGAAGTGATGTTTTATTCAACAACTATATATCTAGTTATCAGTATAAGTCCGGTTATCAGTGGTCCGCGTCGGTATATTGCAAGTGCATACTTTAATATAAAATTCTGTGTGTAATCGAATTGCGGTGTCGCATGTCACTTAATAATGATGAAGACACCATGAGTGAGATGGTTATCGCATAGGAAGCAGACGTGTTCTCTGTTATACAGTTACAAAGGACGTCTTAAACCTATGTTCTCAACATGTTCCAAATCGGACATGCCATGGAGCTGGTTTACAGTTCGTAACTTTAAGAATGTACTATATGAAACTGTATACTGAAAGTCCACGCGTACAAGGAACAGCTATGAACCTTTGTGCTTGAGGGTTCGTATCTATCAGGTTCAAATTACAAGGTTGGGTTGTTCAAGATGTGCCTGGTGGTCTGCCTGGAATGTTGTTTTCGCTTAAAAAAACGTCTTTCTGCCACACGAGTCACAGCGCGCCTTGGATGCAAGCATTATCAATTATTTTCCAGTGTCTTTGCCGTAACATGCCCCCCGTTGTGTAGCCGAGGCGTGCTTTATTGTGGTGCCCAACAATCACCCTCGTCCATGTATCCCGGTCTCTCTGCCCAGAGATAGCAACCCCTTCATACAATGTGCAACTGTAGACAGTATTCTATAACAAGCGCTGATACATGATGTACATACTGTAGCTTCAAGTAAACGATATTCCATGTGACGTTAATTTTATATGACATGTTGGATAGTGAGTCTCTCGCTGATAGTTGAAGGCGGTAGGGGGGCGATTTGAAGCAACAAAATCCTTCAAACATCCAGATCTAACACAAATACGATCTCGCCATGCCGAGTGAGCTTTACTGGATGTTATCTTCTCTACTGGCATTGTGTCGGAGATGCTCTACTTGGCATTGTGTCGGAGATGCTCTACTTGGCATTGTGTCGGGGATGCTCTACTTGGCATTGTGTCGGGGATGCTCTACTTGGCATTGTGTCGGGGATGCTCTACTTGGCATTGTGTCGGGGATGCTCTACTTGGCATTGTGTCGGAGATGCTCTACTTGGCATTGTGTAGGGGATGCTCTACTTGGCATTGTGTCGGAGATGCTCTACTTGGCATTGTGTCGGAGATGCTCTACTTGGCATTGTGTCGGGGATGCTCTTCTTGGCATTGTGTCGGGGATGCTCTTCTTGACATATTGTCGGGGATGCTCTACTTGGCATTGTGTCGGGGATGCTCTACTTGGCATTGTGTCGGGGATGCTCTTCTTGGCATATTGTCGGGGATGCTCTTCTTGGCATATTGTCGGGGATGCTCTTCTTGGCATTGTGTCGGGGATGCTCTACTTGGCATATTGTCGGGGATGCTCTTCTTGGCATATTGTCGGGGATGCTCTACTTGGCATATTGTCGGGGATGCTCTTCTTGGCATATTGTCGGGGATGCTCTACTTGACATATTGTCGGGGATGCTCTTCTTGGCATATTGTCGGGGATGCTCTACTTGGCATATTGTCGGGGATGCTCTACTTGGCATATTGTCGGGGATGCTCTTCTTGGCATATTGTCGGGGATGCTCTACTTGGCATATTGTCGGGGATGCTCTTCTTGGCATATTGTCGGGGATGCTCTACTTGGCATATTGTCGGGGATGCTCTTCTTGGCATATTGTCGGGGATGCTCTACTTGGCATATTGTCGGGGATGCTGTTCTTGACATTGTGTCGGGGATGCTCTACTTGGCATATTGTCGGGGATGCTCTTCTTGGCATATTGTCGGGGATGCTCTACTTGGCATATTGTCGGGGATGCTCTTCTTGACATTGTGTCGGGGATGCCCTTCTTGGCATTGTGTCGGGGATGCTCTACTTGGCATTGTGTCGGTTAAGAAAACACGGTTAGCCACTGTTGTTATCACACGTGCATCACCAGTAGGTTCACGTTAATGATAATGATAATGATGATAATGCTGACAGATATTGGTATCGCGCCATGTGCGCCCAGGAATGCATGCGCACAATGCTAGTCGGGCCACGTGTGTGGTGAAGCTGGCATACAGCCAGAACTTATGTATCAAGCATTAATAACAGAGGAAAATAGCGTATATTTTATTTAGGTTTGAAGCCACAAACTACTGGGGTTCAAAATATTCCAACTATATTATTTGACAGGGGCGGTGGGGTAGCCTAATGGTTAAAGCGTTGGCTCGTCACTCCGAAGACCCGGGTTCGAATCCCCACATGGGCACAATGTGTGCCCTCCGCCGTGATGTTGCTGGAATATTGCTAAAAGCGGCGTAAAAGTAAACTCAGTCAGTCAGTATTATTTGACAAAAACATTAATCGAGAGTACATGTGCACCTACAGTCTCATTTGACCTTCTTGTACCCTTTCGTCGACGTTTGCCAACGATTATCTCGAACAGAGTCTGCAGAAGCAAGTATAGTGTGTTATTTCAGACCTATATTAACAATTAAATTTGATTGATAGAAGATAAACCTTACAGTGTTGGTATTAAACCAGATCCACGTTTAATTATCTGCTTCAGGTAGGATATATTTTTAGATCTCTTTGAGTTTCTTGTTTCTTTCTACAGAACATACATTTTTAATGAACATCAGGATTTGCTTCAGAAACCAAAGACGACATTAAATGCAGTTCATGTAGCCATTGTCACCTCTCTTGCAGACCTAAACTGAGCAACGTATTTGTCAGTTCAATGCCGGGAAAGTATCAATCCTATTGTGTTTGAGCGATTATTTCCCGATTGAATATTTTTGTGTTGACCCAGGTGTTGCTACATCCAGCAGAGGACTGTGATGATCAATTAAATTGATGAAGTGGTTGTTGACACTGCTGAAGTTCAAATCTGTCCTCTACGTCAAGACAATTACCCCTTAGAAGATTTAATCAATAATGTACAAGAAATTCAGAGATTTGCAGAAACCCTAGTATCTCCTTTTAGTGAAACTAATTTTGCGAAACTGAGAGTATATTTGGCAGCACTGTTATACATTCATAAACGGGTTTGTTCCGTTCCATTTAAAAGGTGCATTTACCTATCACTTCGCACTCACGCTCTTGGATCATTGTTGAAATTATGAATAAAATTAATAGCAAATGGTTTTATCTATGTATTTCAAAACAAATATGTGTGATCACAACTGTGACAGCTATATCTCTGAGTCTGTTTGAACTGAAATTGGATTCAAATTCTGAAATATATATTTCACGAAAGCATGTTTAACAGGCGATGACGTCATGTGAAGTGCTTCCTGGATTTGCACTGGTTGTTTAGTTACCATACGTTGTTTGTCCTAAGCTGGCCACCCCTTCTCTGTGTGCTGCACTACATGGGGACAAACATATCTACCAGCATTATTGCCTCATGGAATACTTTTAGATAACAGATGCAAAATGACATAACATAACTCCTTTTGTGATTATCGGATAGTTGTTTTATTTTCTACAAATGCTTTTGTGATAACATGAGATACAATATTATACAATATCACAGGTTTAATGATTAACATTCGACAAAATCTAAGTTTATTGCACAAAATACTATCGTGAAACACCGTCAAAATTTAAATGTTTATCAATAAAAATCAGTATAGTTTCTCCGGTTTTAATTTCTTAATCATGATGAATAAGAAGAGAACATGTACTCCAAAATATAGATTCTCAAAATTTATATAGTGTTTCTGTCTTCCTCTACGTTTGATGGATGTCATCAAAACCCTCATTCTGTTTATTTTCATAAAAGTTTAAAGCAATAAATATGTATTGTAAAACATAAATTGAACATCTATCATAACAGTCACAAATCAATGTTAGGCTTAAGCATAATAGGGGCAAGTTAACAAATTGATGGAACAATATTGAAAAGAAATATACTTTAAGCTTTGTATGACCTTCTCACTTATTGAAGCAATTTACAGCAGAAACTTTCCCTGTCGCTGGGTGGTACTAAAGTGGACCTCCAGATATCATTGCCTTCATCTTTAGATGTTAGTTCATGTTTCTTTCAACAACATCCCTGAGTTTAAAGGTTCTCTGAGCCACCATTGTCTCAGTTCTAAGTATAACTTTTGTATTCCATTATTCCCCAAAACAAACTTCTTTGGGTTTTATAAATACAGTCTTTTTTAGATCACTTGATTTCGTTCTTTATCAAGATACGGGAGTTTCCTACATTTAAAAGAGTGGCACCATCTCAAGTGGCAACACGGCAAGATTATCTGAAGTTGTTTCCCGCTGTCTGCTCAATAACTAGTGATGTTGGACTTCAAACTATGTTTACAAATGCAAGCTTTTATATCGGGAACTATTGAAAATATGACGACAAGTAGTCACTTTGAACCACTCAACTATTTTATTGTCCACACGAAACCGTTTGTGACATGCTCTCCTGGCTAATGGCGATTTGAATGATGACAGGATTCAGTGATGAACCATATACAGTCAGCGAACGATGGTGCTCGAGACAAGAAACAAGCGTATTGTACCGTAGATGCCATGGTAAACTGTATCGTTTATGTTGCACACTCCTTTGTGTATGTATATTTCATGAGCTCTGAGCGAAGTCATCTTTTCCAAGTAAAGAGGGTGTTTCTTTGTAGTCAAAGACTTCCAGGATTTCACAAAGTAGGTTTTAACACAAACATTTTTATGATGTTTTATTCGAAAAATATCCATTACTGTCTTAATTGCCGGTGAAGTAGTTCTCTTAATGTTTGTTCACACATGAGGGATAGCATGAATATAGTCAGAAAAATAGCACGCATTCAGTTTCAATGAGAGAGTAAGAGATGGACGTGTTTTTTTAGTTTTGCCGAATCATAAGACTGTCCACGTGCACTTCACATTTGAAGAGGAACCTATTACGTCACTTCCGACACGATGCACAGCGTCATCTGCCGCCCTCTTTAGGGAGTATTTCCGCTGTTCTTGTTCTTTCCCAAGGCGTAGTAAACAAAGGGGTTCACCAGCCTCTTGTTTTCATAGTATCCATCCGCCAGTTCAGAGTCACCGTAGGGGACGTTGTTTTCCCAGTCTTCACCGTTGTCCAGGACGTTGCCGTCGTTCATTTCCATCTCACGTTTGCCGACGAACATTCTGTGGGCGTAGGGCCTCTTGCCAACGAACCACCGTCCAACTTTGGGGCTTAGGCGTGTTTGAAAGGCAGTGGGCATGCGTTTGCCGACGAAGTAATAGCCGTACTTTGGACTCCTAGATTCCAGCTCAATTGGCATCCGCTTCCCAACAAACATGTGGGTGAAGCCGGGACTTCTTCGTTTCTCAACGGCAGTGTCGTCACTTGTTTGGTCATTTCCTGAAACAAACATAATCGTTTCAGAATATTGCGTGAGGAGGATATTGAGACGTACAGATATAATGGTATACTGGAAGCAGAGTTGCCATGGAGACATGGTGTGAGCTCATCATAAATAATACACAATCAACATGAATCGTCCGAATAAAAACAATCATTGCCCCAAAATAGTGATTTCAAAGTTACATGTTAACAATGTACAAGTTCACAGAAACACCGATTCTTGTGTATATTCACAACTATAAATATGTCATGAAATATGTCCAATATACATGTATATCACAGTTTAAAATATCCTTGAGTCGTTTGTTGTAATCAGTGAAGACTGTGCGAGTTCTGTGAATGTCTTATGTCTTACATGTTAATGTTGTATACGAGTTATATAATCATCATATATTTTATCAAGGCGTAAATATATCAGTAGATTTAATCTCGAGTCCCTTATATATTCTTTACAAGTCAGAAGAGTCCAACTGAAAGTAATAGGCGAATTCCTTGACAGCGCATGTCGTTGCTTTTGTCATGTTCTCTGCCTCTTACAGTCATCGGATTGAGACAAAATCTGAATTCAGTGAACACATTGTCGTAATCCATTGCATGACGTGTAAGTATACATTGTAGGACATCCAGGACATTGTTGCACAGTGATGTCCTGAAGCTAAAACAGTTAGTCTGTGGAAATGTCAGAGATTGTAGTAGGCAAAGCAGAGCCGCACATCTCGCCTCCTCCCTGGTATTAAGAGTCTGCAATCAGAACTGCTAATGGCTGTTACACGGATTCCCGCAACCAGAGAGTAGCGTGATTGAAGAGCAGACAGGGTCTTCTTCGGCAAATCATGCAAACAGTATAAGTTTAAACTGAGGCAGCAAATGACAAGGCCATACACAAGTATTTTCCCTTCCTGACCCGCGTTCCTTCATACTGAGCATATATTACAGATCTTTAGTTTCAGAATTAATATTGGATTTACCATGGATCGAAGGTAAATCGGATGTGTAAAGGATTTTCTACAAGCTTTACCCATAAGCTTCTATTTTGAGATAACGGAAGTACTAGAACTGAAATAATAGATCATTATACACGGCCTCAGCTGTCTAGATGTATTTTCACCGTGTGATGACGTACGAAAGATGCTGAATCCATGTGTTCAGGGAATGTATTGAACCACATGTATCGAAATAGTATCGTGTTTTGTGTGTTTTCAGCTACTAGGTTAATGTCTCATAATGTGTCAAAAAGGGACGTTTTACGTCTACCGAAGCGTCTACTTCTGTTCGTCTTAATGCATCCTTGACGAAGTTAGGAGACCCTTTAGCCTTGCAATTTAGAATGGACTCTTCACCCTTCCTTTCAGTGATCAAGTCAGACCGGCAATTACACAAAGTCGACTTCTTTTGGTCAGATAATGGTTGGACAAATATAACATAGGGAAAGCCTGAGTGGTCAGCGTCCGCTGTGCGCAGAAACCGCCTAGTGATTATGGTTCCAATGCTTTCAGACCAATTTAAGTATTCGGCTCGTCCTTCAAGTAAGAAGACTATTGTTTGGTCATGCTTGTAGCAGCAATTGCGTGCGACTCCAGCAACAGAGGTTTTCTAATTGTAGTGACATTTATTTCATCAGCTGCAGTCTTACGAGTTCTGCAGACATTTTATGTAGGATAACAGCGCTTCTATGAAGAGACTTCATGCATGTTATGGTAACTGGGCGGCTCTTGTTTCAGTAGGAAACTACCCGTCTGGCACCATTTCCTGTTCACGGTGCCGAGGATGGGTGTGCACTCGATCATACGCCATTCATCTGTCTACACTCCATCATACGCCATTCATCTGTCTACACTCGATCATACGCCATTCATCTGTCTACACTCGATCATACGCCATTCATCTGTCTACACTCGATCATACGCCATTCATCTGTCTACACTCGATCATACGCCATTCATCTGTCTACACTCGATCATACGCCATTCATCTGTCTACACTCGATCATACGCCATTCATCTGTCTACACTCGATCATACGCCATTCATCTGTCTACACTCGATCATACGCCATTCATCTGTCTACACTCGATCATACGCCATTCATCTGTCTACACTCGATCATACGCCATTCATCTGTCTACACTCGATCATACGCCATTCATCTGTCTACACTCGATCATACGCCATTCATCTGTCTACACTCGATCATACGCCATTCATCTGTCTACACTCGATCATACGCCATTCATCTGTCTACACTCGATCATACGCCATTCATCTGTCTACACTCGATCATACGCCATTCATCTGTCTACACTCGATCATACGCCATTCATCTGTCTACACACTCGATCATACGCCATTCATCTGTCACTCGATCATACGCCATTCATCTGTCTACACTCGATCATACGCCATTCATCTGTCTACACTCGATCATACGCCATTCATGTCTACGCCGATTCATCATGTCTACACTCGATCATACGCCATTCATCTGTGATCATACGCCGTTCATCTGTCTACACTCGATCATACGCCATTCATCTGTCTACACTCGATCATACGCCATTCATCTGTCTACACTCGATCATACGCCATTCATCTGTCTACACTCGATCATACGCCATTCATCTGTCTACACTCGATCATCTGTCTACACTTCATACGCCATTCATCTGTCTACACTCGATCATACGCCATTCATCTGTCTACACTCGATCATACGCCATTCATCTGTCTACACTCGATCATACGCCATTCATCTGTCTACACATCGATCATACGCCATTCATCTGTCTACACTCGATCATACGCCATTCATCTGTCTACACTCGATCATACGCCATTCATCTGTCTACACTCGATCATACGCCATTCATCTGTCTACACTCGATCATACGCCATTCATCTGTCTACACTCGATCATACGCCATTCATCTGTCTACACTCGATCATACGCCATTCATCTGTCTACACTCGATCATACGCCATTCATCTGTCTACACTCGATCATACGCCATTCATCTGTCTACACTCGATCATACGCCATTCATCTGTCTACACTCGATCATACGCCATTCATCTGTCTACACTGATCATACGCCATTCATCTGTCTACACTCGATCATACGCCATTCATCTGTCTACACTCGATCATACGCCATTCATCTGTCTACACTCGATCATACGCCATTCATCTGTCTACACTCGATCATACGCCATTCATCTGTCTACACTCGATCATACGCCATTCATCTGTCTACACTCGATCATACGCCATTCATCTGTCTACACTCGATCATACGCCATTCATCTGTCTACACTCGATCATACGCCATTCATCTGTCTACTATCACTCATCTGTCTACACTCGATCATACGCCATTCATCTGTCTACACTCGATCATACGCCATTCATCTGTCTACACTCGATCATACGCCATTCATCTGTCTACACTCGATCATACGCCGTTCATCTGTCTACACTCGATAATACGCCATTCATCTGTCTACACTCGATCATACGCCATTCATCTGTCTACACTCGATCATACGCCATTCATCTGTCTACACTCGATCATACGCCATTCATCTGTCTACACTCGATCATACGCCATTCATCTGTCTACACTCGATCATACGCCATTCATCTGTCTACACTCGATCATACGCCATTCATCTGTCTACACTCGATCATACGCCATTCATCTGTCTACACTCGATCATACGCCATTCATCTGTCTACACTCGATCATACGCCATTCATCTGTCTACACTCGATCATACGCCATTCATCTGTCTACACTCGATCATACGCCATTCATCTGTCTACGAGAGCGATTCATGAAAACCTTTGCCTTTCTAAACGTTGACAACTGACAAGTAACAAACTATTTTATTATATATAAGTCTATGAAGAGATCAGTACTGTGGTTTCTAAAATCAATTAAAATGTTATGATTGTTTTCTTCAAATTAGCTATAGTTTATGAATTATTATCACACTTTAATGTTGTACATCCTCAACGCCGAAGAATATTCACTCTCGAATATCTGCAGTTTCCATTGGGCAAAATAGTAGTGAAACATTTATGAAGAATCAATGAAATTATTGTCAATAACCTTTTTCGAAAATGGTAAGCATGTCCCGCTCTGTCACTCTCACAGTTTGTTGAAAAGGCGTCTACACAGTCTTTCCATGTGGGTAGCTTCGCGACATAGGATACATGGTGAGGAACAATCACGTGACAGTTTCGTCGTGTGTATAGTTCCACGAATTCCTAGGTTCATCTGCTTTCTTATTGCTAGAATAACTTCACACTTGTTTCCATTTAAAGGAATGATATTTATGAGAAGTGAAACCTAAGACACATATGTCAACATTTTGTGTGTTGGCACCAGCTGTTATCTTTGCAGATAGTAGCGTCAGTACCAAATTTGTTATTTTTATAAGGAACTCTTGTTAAAAGGGAATTAGCAAAACGTGCAGATTGTCAAATGACCTTGAAATCGAAGACTCTGACCCCACCTGACCTCTGGGGATACGTGTAACGAAAACCGTAACCTGATAGTAGGTAGCTGTCTGTAGGAGTTGATCACACTCGTGATTGAAATAGTTCACCAAGTGCCAGACTGGTTGTATCTTAGGTCTAATCTTGATTTGACCGACACGGGTGGCAGATGAGTTAGTGGTGGAACAGTGGGGAATCTAAGATGACCGACTGAGGGTCAGGAATTGAACGGAAATGGTCATATCCGTGGGTTTCAGATTAACAAAAGTGATATCATGGCTATTCCATCAAGAAACCTTCACAATGTATCCTGGTGAACCAGTGAAGATACGTTTTGGAATTTTTTCGCGGATGATTACGAATGATCAGAATCCTGACGATGTGTACGGGGCATTTCCCCTGCTTCAGATACTCGAACGTATTTGACTTTGTTTACTCGTACAGCGCTGTCTGTCATTTAGAACCAGTCATAATGTTAATCTTGTCCCGACTGTTTTCTT